CCCACCGCAATCTGGTTCGGTAGCAAAACAAGGACCGCACACGTCAACTCCACCTCCACCAACCAAGAATGATGAGGTGACTAACAATTCTTCGTACGAAAGGGATATCAGTTCACCTCCCGGTATCTCCGGAAAATTACCAGTCCCAGTTCCTCCTCATCCACAATATCGCCAACATCGAAGCCTCTCTTTCTCTGGCGGACAACATGACACCGATTTGTTTGGCTATGCCCCCAGCACAAGTCGCCGAGACAGTGAGGGAGGATTGCGCTTTGCGTACCGTCACTCACTGCCGGTGGTGGAAGAGGAAACAGATGACTTGTCACAGTTTAATATGAAATTTCGAGCTCGATCTAAATCTTCTGCTGCTGCTTACGGAGCTATTTCGGGTTATCAAGACCTTCCCGGTGATGATATGAGTGAATATAGGAGAGATTCCGAACAATATTCAGATTCTGGTTCGATTTGGAACAATCAAGGATCCCAGAATGACGGACCCATTCTTCACCACCGACGTTCGATGCCTGGTACTTCCGACTACGGAATGTGGGATAACCTGAATGCGTCCAGACAACCTGCATCGTCATCTTCGTACTTGTCAGTGATGTCCGGTCTGTCAAATAATGATCGACTGGAAAAGATAAGACAAAGACGTTTCTCCCTCTCACAAGTACCCACGTACGGACACGAATATCCTTCGTATATGGATGGCAACCAAGACTTACGAATGTTAAACCATCGGTAAGAACTTGGATATTTAATAAAATTCCTATATAGGTTATTGATTTATCATAACTGAATTGATGTTAATTGTTGACAGCAGTACCACAGCAATTGATCCATCATTTGCTCACCTTGTGCAAAGACGTCATTCCGTGGCGGGACCTTCAATTTCTTTCTCAGCCAATCAGCAAACTAGATATTTATCTGATACATTGGAATCTCTTCATCTAAGCAACGTGCCTCAGGCAACGTATACCAACGACACCGGATATCCCAGCATTCCAGAGGACATTGATGATTACTTCGATAACGACGAACATCGTACACGAGCATGGAATGAACTCGGAAAAGGATTACCTCTTCACGCTGTTCCTAAACATGGACCATTGTTTCTTGTTGAGTTTAAAGCGGGACGTACCGATCTATTCTATGTTGCTGAGAATAGTGGTAACATGGTTAAAAAAGGAGATCTCGTTATCGTTGAGGCAGATCGAGGCAAAGACTTGGGAAAAATAACAAACGATTCCATCCTACCTCATCAAGTACAGATGTTACAACAACAGCAAGCTGACGCAATGAGCGATGGTCATCGTATGAATAAAGAAATTCATCCAAAACGGATTTATCGATTGGCTCAACCAGCTGAGATTACGATGCTAGTCTCAAAGAGCCAGGACGAAGCGAAAGCCATGCTGGTTTGTCAGACCAAAGTTCGTCAAAAGAAATTACCGATGGAGGTAGTTGACGCTGAATATCAGTGGTATGTGATCAAACAATTGAATGAAGTTTTCTACTTGTTAAAGACTTATCTTGATTTTTAATTTCTCTTTCATTGTAGGGATCGCCGCAAGCTTACTTTCTACTTTATCGCCGAGCGTCGTATTGATTTTCGCGAATTGGTCCGTGACCTATTCAAAATTTACAAAACGCGTATCTGGATGTGTGCTGTCAATCCCATGAATAAGCCCAAGAAATAATGAATTTCTAATTGTTTGAAGGAAAGTCGACCAAAAAAAAAAAAAAAAAAAAAAAATCTTAATGGCGTTCAAACATCAAATTTACCATAAGATGAAAAAAAAAAAAAATCTTTAGAAAAAAAAAAAAAAATGAAATTTGAAAAAAACGTTGCAATGATTTGACCTTGGGAACTCTCCTGTGTATATTCTCTCTTTTTTTTGTATTATTTGTCGAGACGTAGGAACGATTAATTATATTTTTCTTTTTTGTTAATATTTATCGTCTGACTGTAGAAAAGAGATAAATAATGAAATTTATCAGCAATTTTCAAATTGTTAATTTCTCTTTCTTTGTATCTATATTTTTATTTTATTTTCTTTCTTTTAGAAGCTATAGATCCAGTCACGTTTTTTACATCCCCTTATAAATTGGGTCGTTCATAGCTTCATGCCACATAACACTTTTGTTTCATATATATTATAGGCTCTTCATTCCTAGTTTGTTCAAACCAATCAGTAGTTATTATTATTATTTTTTTTTTATTACAGTAGACATACATGTTGTAGAAATTTTATACAAAAGGGAATTACATTATATCGTTGAATTTAAGGAATTTTTTTTTTCTTTTTGTCGGGAGACGAGAAAAGATAAAGAAGTAGAGGGGACCTTTCTACCCCTTTCTATTATATTGTATTTTGATAATGATTATTATTTTTCTTTCTTTTTCTTTGCTTTCAGATCTTTCTTTTTTTTTTCATTGAATGGCGTACTTTTCGCGATTTTAATTTCCAAGATCGTAACGGTTCTAGAGAATCACTCTTTTTGTTCCTTCACTCTTTCAAAACCATAACTTGCAATAATTATTACGTAAAGCTTTTATTTCCTTTTATTTTTATTCTTATTTACCCTCCAGTATTTTAAAACAATTGTGTATACAAAAAAATGCATTCAATTTCTCTTTTTTTTTTTTCATGATTTTCATCTAAGATAATTTATCAACTTTTTTGACCATACATTTATTTTCAAAAATGGCATGATTGTTAACGAACATGATGGAAGGAGTTTTTTGATTAATTGATATCGGAGATGTCACAAACATAGTTTTGCTTATCAAGATAATTTGAAGGCCAATACCGATTGATACCTTTACTGCACTTCGAACCAAGAATTACATAACGGCCGACATCCTTCGTCTAATCTTTGAATCGAAGTTGATTGTTGTGCTTTAATTTATACTTTTAATACTGTATTTACTAAATGGGTATAACAATATTTAGCTTGTGAAAAAGATTACGACCTTTGATCTCGCGAGAAATATACATTTATTGTATATATTGTACTTTTACTTATAAAATATTTTTTTGCCATGACCAATCGATCTTAGTATGTAGCTATTTTTTGGAATTCGCGTGATGATGGATTATTACATAACCTTTGATCATTATCGGTCGATCATTTAATGGTCAACTAATAAATAATAATAAATAACCAATGCGTATACAGTATATACAATGAAATTTATTGCGTATAGATATTTTTAAGTAATTTCAAGTAGCGACAAGATAAATTATTATTCTTATTTTTTCTATTCTGGTAACAATGATCTAATTTTTAAGTAAAAAGCATATCTAATTATTACTTTTTTTTGTTAATTCTTTGATTACATATAAAAAAAATTTTTACAAGAAGTTAAATTATTTCTTTATTAAAAATCTTAACACATTTCTTATAATAGTTTAAAGAATATTTTAAAGTCATTTTTATTGTTTATAATTTTTCTAATTAAAAATTTGATTTATGGTAATCAAGAAAAGTCAAATAATATCTATTATCAATAATAAAAAAGCTTCTAAAGAAAGAATATTTTTTATTTTAAAATAAATTATAATAGAGATCATAAATAATAAAAAATTTGTTTTTTTTTCTTTTAACTATTTTGATTCTTTTAGAATTTTTATTTTTTATAGTTTTTTTAAAAAATTTATTTATTACAATTTGATTTTAAATTTTTAAACTATATAATTTTATTAAAAAATTTTGATTGATATAAAATATTATATATTAATTTTTAAAATACAAACAAACTTCTATTGATTATTATTTTTTTTAATTTTAATTTTTTTTTTTTTAAACCCTCTGTCAGGCTAGGTATGTGTGCTTTATTAAACATATGTATACTTTACATTAAAAAT